TTTTTTTTTTTTTTTTAATAAAAAAGGCTGCTCGTTAATGGCATGGAAGAGAATAACAAAATGATTAGTTCTTTTTAATGTTATTCAAAGATAACCCCCCCACTAAAAAAAAACAAAAAACAACAACCCAGTTGCCATCGAGTCAGTTCTGACTCATGGCAACCCCATGTGTGTCAGAGTAGAACTGTGTTGCATAGAGCTTTCAGTGACTGATTTTTCAGAAGTCGATCTCCAGGCCTTTCTTCTGAGGCTCCTCTGAGTGGACTTGAATTGCCAACCTTTTGGTTAGCAGCTAAGCACGTTAACCATTTGCACCACCCAAGGACTCCAAAGACAACCCAGCCTAACCTTAATCTTGATAAGAATCTGGTTTCTCATTGCTGACTGCTCCAAAGTAAATATGTGTGAAAATTAAGATACCAGGTTGGTAAACAGTTCACTTTCTAGTATGATGAGAAACACCTGAACAATAACAAAGTATTTTAAAAGCCAACTGGGCTATTGAGGCTTGGGATTTACTTTTAAGTAATTAGAGTGTCATCCACAAACCTGGATTTAGCCTTTGGTTTCTATAGGAATCATGAGAGGTGTCTGCTGCATCCTATGAGCATCCCAGAACATGAATAGCTTTGGAGCCATACATAGGGCAAAGTCACTAATTGCACTCCAAATGCAAGCCAGTGCAGGCTGCAGCAGCCAAGGCTTTGTGTCTTAGGTTTACAGTCAGGTTCAAGTTTCATTCCACATTTAAACAGTGGAGCACCTGTCTCCAAGGAAGGCAATAAGATTTATAAAACTACAAAAAGGAAAGCTTGCAAATATGTTATGTTGTTGTTAGATATTGAGGTATGTGGATGTCTTTACAGTAGCATGGTAATATTTGTGGACCCTTGGATTCACTTTGTTCTTGTGTGGCTGCTGTGAAGAGGGTTAGTCATTAATGAGCATAATCCATATCTAAATGCCCCACTGACCAAGTTAGACCAGACTAGGTGGGAAAGAGAAGTAGGCTTTTTCCAAGTTGAGACTAACAATTTAGTGATAACTAGTTGTATCAGTCAGGTGTGTGTGTGTGTGTGTGTGTGTGTGTTGGTGATGTTTGTTTCAAGGAACAGGAGCTCCAACTCCAAATGGCTTAAAAGGGAATTTATTTGCTCACATAACTGAAGAGTAGAGGATGAGTTGAGGCACAGCTGAATTTAGGGACTCAAAAACCTAGTCTCCCCATTTCTCTGTTTTCCTGTAGTTTGGCTTCATTCTTAGACAGATTTTCTTCTTGTAGTCGCTAGCTGTAAACCAAATGTCATCGGACTGGATTGGGTCATATGCCCATTCCTAAACCAATCACTGTGGCGGGATGAGGGGAATGCAGTGATCTGATTGGCCATAACTGAGTCACATACCCAGCTCTGGAGTTGGTAGTGCAGACAATACCATCTAAAGCAGTGCTTTCTCAAACTGTCTATGGTAAAGGGCCATTATTTTTGTTTAAATTTCCAAGTAGAGACTGATACTTCAAATCTCTGTATACCCTGTTCAACAAGATGAGTCCACTAATCATGTTCTTGGTTGTTGCCCTGTAAAACTGTATAACATTTTCTAAATGCTTATTCTGAATTTTGTCATGAATTGGTAATAAGCATAGTGGACCATGCCAGGACGCCACATTTTAACAAGTACTTTTCTAAACCATATGGAACAAGAAAGGGATGAGTGCTTCTCTGGAAGAAGATCTGGGGAAGGTATTGCCAGAAAAGGGGCAAGAGAATAGGTGCCAGAAAGATGCCCACCACAATTCTATGAATGTTCCTTTTGGAAAGGCCTTATCTTAATGTTCAGGAAATTGCTGGGTTATAGATCTTAATGGTGTCAGATAGGCAGTAGGATGAGAGTTCACCACCACCACCCCCATTTTTATTTTAAGGATTGAAGATTCTTCAGTCTTTTCTGCTTAGTAGCCCTCGTTTCCCCTTTTCTTTCTAGCCACGTTTGGGTTAGTAAGGAGATCTCAGCTTTCTTAACCAGCTATTTCCTAGAGAGACAAGCAGCTCATCTGAGGAAACCCAACGGGCCAGGGCTGAAAATAACCACACACAGCAGGAAAGTCTGAAAAGGATGATGGGAAAAAATGAATTATTTCACTGTATTTTTAGATACTCCCCAGGGCAGGGCAGACAAAACAACATGCCTTCTTAGCAGGACAGCTTTCTGTGCTGGCTAAGGCACAAGAGCATGTTGGCCACTCAGAACTAGATATTTTAAACTGCATCCAGGTAGACCAGTTTGTTGAGAAGGGAGATTAGAAAATGAGGGCCCTACATTGTAGTCATGTGATAGCCCAGGATTTAAACTTCCAGCTCCACCATCATGTCAGACTACATTGTTCAGAGGTTATTCTGACCTACTCAACAAACGGTTCATGGTTCCAGAAAGGGGATTTGGTAGCATATTCTGTATGGACTAACAGGCCTGTCAAAGACGGAAAACCAACTGTTGGCTGAATTAGTTGATTTTCATGGGGCAAGGGGGAAGGGAAGCATCACGAAGGGAAGACCTTGGGATTAGTGAAGCATAGACTTTTAAATCGTAGCCATCTGGATGGGTGTTTGTTGTGGTTCCAGCAAGGCTCCATGCATGCAATTGTACTAGTCACAGACACAACTGTTTACGCTACAGTCTCACATAACTTGAGCAGACAATTATAATCCTCATTCCTGCAGAGCAATACAACACTTTTCTTTTCCCTAGGAAGTGTGTAATAGCTTGTGTATGTTAAATGTTAAGAATGTGGTGCTGTTACAATGAATTAAACGTGATGAAAACCTCTACCCAAGGGTAAGTTTTTAAAAATTTCATTGAAGACTGGGGATGGGGGAGATGTTTGCCTTTGCCTTCCCCATACTTCTTTCTTAACTCCAGTGGATTCTGGTGGCATAGTTTGTTTTGTGCCTGGTGACCTGTAATTCTCTATTGAATGCAGGTCCTTTGTCTTGGGGGGGGGGGGAACAAAACAAAACAAAACAAAATCCAACTTGTGCATGACAAGCCATAGTTTTCTAATGAAAGCTGTAATTTGGAAGAAGAAATGAGGTTATTTTGGAGGAATGCAGGCCTTTTATAGATGTGGTTAGAGTGGTTCATAAAAGAAGGAAATCTGCAGCCATCCCCTGGGTTTAACCAACCTTCTTGGGAGCCTGTAATGCACCTCGTACAGTATGGGGACATCCTAAGGAGTTAACAGTGTCCTTTACTCCTTCAGAATGCCTGTCTGGGGAGGCGGAAACAAGTGTGGGTCCTGTGGGAGGACCGTGTACCATGCGGAAGAGGTACAGTGTGATGGGAGAAGCTTCCACCGCTGCTGCTTTCTGTGCAGTAAGTATCTCCCAGTGCTTGACCTTTGACAATTTGTGAGTAAAAGGCGTCAATTTACCTATTTAAGGAAAGAACTCTGCTTTTGCTAACATTATTTTAAAAGCACAAGTGGTTTTTATCTGTCTGTCCTCTTAAGATAGTATAAATGCTCAGCCCAGCAGCAAGGACAGTAGGGGTGACTCAGAACACTGCTTTCCTTTGTGGCCCCATAGCTCTGGCCCACCTGTTGGCCTTTCCTGGACTTCATTTGTTAGCACATCTGTCTCCCCTGCTGCATTCTGAGCTCACTGTCCTTTATGTGGTCTACTACATAGCATAGTATGGCACACTGGAAGGGCTCAGCCCCAATGTCTGAATGAATGATTGTTCCTCATCTACCCCAGCTTTTTCTCTCTGGCTGGGTTCCTCTTTGAAACCTGTTTGCTTGTTTCATACCGCACTGGTGACTGAATGATTAAATTCCTAGAAGCTCAAATTCTACCTTCTCTGGTAGTGACTGTTCTAAGTTATTTTTGGTTACTGACGTTCTAAACTTGAGGCAAAGGAACTTAGGGTATGAAAATCCCATGGAGTCAAGTTAGGAGTTACTGTTGTTACCAGACAGAAAATCATCAGAGGGTCTAGCACAGACAGGAAGTAGGAAGTAAAACAACCATGCCGATACGCTCTAAGTACGGTCAGTACCAGGTAATGAGAGAAACAGAACAAGAGACAAGCCTGAAAATTGAAGGAAAAAAAAAAAATTCCCCTCTAATGACAGCTAAATCATTGGGTTTAAACAAGTAGAGTAGCAGTTTAAGAAAGCTTTTCATTAATCTTAATCTTGATTCAAATGACAGACTTTCCTTTAATGAAGGGTTTACTACCTGGGGAGCTGCCCACCTATACATGCAGATACTTGCCTCATCTATAGTACTGTACAGTGAAAATTACTGTAAAATGTCGAATATTTTAAAAATAAATTTAGTTACATTAAGAAATGATCTTAAGAAAAAACTTCTACTTTGAATTGTCTTTTTCCCCCAGGCCCCAGCATTACAGTATCTGGACATCTTTATAGTATAACTGCCTCACAGACAACAAGAAACAGACAACAGAAAGTTACAGTCACAAAGAATAAAAATTCAGCCCACGGACACTCTTTTAGCTCAGTAATGAAGTCACTCCTGAGGTTCACCCTTCAGCCAAAGATTAGACAGGTCCATAGGACAAAACGAGAAGGTAGGAGGGGACAGGAAAGCTGGTAATAGGGAACCCAAGGTCGAGAAGGGAGAGTACTGACATGTCTTGGGGTTGTTAACCAATGCCATAAAACAATGTATGTACTAACTGTTTAATGAGAAGCTAGTTTGTTCCATAAACCTTCATCTAAAGTACAATTAAAAAAAAAAAAAGTTTAAGAAAAAAAAAGAATAAGAATTCAACAATGAATGTTTGGTATTTATGCCTCCATAATAGCTACCACTTCTCAGAAGAGGTGGTTTAAGCATTTTTTCTCTTAGAAGTTACTGATCTTTTTTTTAGGAATCTGTTTTTCAGCAGATTTGTAACCAAGAGAGTATGTGGTCAAAGAGGAAATGCAGAGACTTCAGGAATTGTTCTTGGTTTCATCTAGGTTAAGGCATAAAGTCAGTGTTTACTAAATGTTGAGTTCTTGACTGGTCATTTTTACTAAACCAAAACCAAACCCATTACCGTTGAGTCAATTCCAACTCCTAGTGACCCTATAGGACAGAGTAGAACTGCCCCATAGGGTTTCCAAGACTGTAATCTTTACGGAAGCAGACTGCCACATCTTTCTCCCATGGAGCAGCTGGTGGGTTCGAACTGCCAACCTTATTCGGTTAGCAGCTGAGCATTTAACCACTGCGCCACCAGTGCTCCTTGGTAATTTTTACTACTCTTTCCTAATAAGTGTCTCTGCTGACTAAACCCTTTTAAGGAAATAATTCAGAGTGATTTGTAGACCTGTGAGAATTTTACTGCAGAGAATAGGGATAAGGACTGGGTGATGGAGCAATAGTTATACAGTCAAATTTTCACATACCTAAACTTGCTTTGGGTAGTAGACCTGTTTTTCAAAACAGCATTGATTTTATATTTATTCTGTCTGTTAAGGGTACTTACTATTTATTCTTCAGCAATGTACGGTTTTAGGTTAACTTTGTCTTTAAGCAAATGAAGACTTTAGTCTGAGGTAATAGAAACTTCGTAATTTATTTTAAACCAGCCAGCTAGTCCAGTCTTTCCCCCTTCTCTTCCTCTTTCTTGTCCTCCCTCCCTCCTTTTCACCCTCTCTATTTTGAGTAAGGAGGAGGAGAAAGACCCTTTTCCACTAATCTTTTTACTTCCAGGATAGGGATTTCCAGTTGCCCTATTGTGCCACCAATGAGCTCCCTCATATTTTTTTTTTCCTCAGTTGAGGTTTTAGAAAGTGAAATAATGTCTGGATAAAACATGATGACATTTGGCAGTTTTATGAAGTGGGATATGTGGAAATGTCTTGTGGCAAGAAATCCATCAAGAAAGAATGTGTTCTGCAGGACAAAAGGAAAAACAAATGCAGTCTCTAAGCTACTTGACGATTTTCAGACACACTTATCACTGCTGGAGAAGCCGGTGGGGAGATGAAAGAATAATGCTTTTCCCTATTGTGGACTAGTGATGAAAACTAGAATTCTGGGTGTAAAATTGCTTTTGTACCAGGGAGGGTGCTTTTTAGAGAAGAAGGGCTACAGAGGCAACTCCCCCAAGGCACCCAGCTACCCTTTTGTTCTTTGTTCTGTTGTGATTTCACAACACATGGTATAAAAGACTGAAGAGGTTAAAGGAGTGCTGAGGCATTGGGAGCAAGGTGTTGGTAGGTTTATTTCTTTTTCATGTAATTATAGCCATCTCTACAACCTCTCACTCTTGCAAGAGAAGAAAATCATATTGAAAAGCTTGAGGCATCTGGATGTTCATACTGATACATTTCTGAAACAAGTATATCCACGGAGGAGGACGGATCATCATCAAGTGTAGCTGACCAGTCCAGATGGTGCCCTGTGGCTGTTGGGAAACCACAGGATAAACTGGGAATGTGAGAGAACCTGGGTCTTTACCACTTGTAGACCATGTGTCCCTGCCACCATTGATTTAAGAAAATCAGCATCTCTGGAACATTTTTAAAGTCTAACTTATTCCCCTTCAGTGGTTTGCAGGAAAAATCTAGATAGCACAACAGTGGCAATTCATGATGAAGAGATCTACTGCAAATCCTGCTATGGAAAGAAGTATGGGCCAAAAGGCTATGGCTACGGCCAGGGCGCTGGCACACTCAACATGGACCATGGTGAGAGGCTGGGCATCAAGCCAGAGAGGTGGGTTAGGAGAGTGTGTTACCTTGAGAAATGACTTACAACAATTAATGTTGCTTGGTGAACAGGAATCTGGAAATTTCCAGATTTTTAGCTTAAAAGAAGCAAACAAAATGTGACTTGTATTTTCTAGTTTAAACGAGTGAATGATCTTTAAACCCCAAATATAGACAGTTTTGGACCTAACAGAGTTCTTACTGATTTATCCAGTGATTTCTGGTTCTGATTTTGTAGCATTCTAGGGTGTATCAGGGAGTCATGATCTTCTCAAAAGTGAACGATTTAGATTTACTTCCATTTGAAAGAAAAAATACATTCAACACCACATTTGGGAGAACAGATGTCATGAAATCAAATGATAGAGAATGTGTTATCAGAATCATGAGATGTGTTTCTCAGATGCAGTTAAGGAGTAAATGAAAATTCTTCAGTTACTCCTTCCATTTAAGAATCTTTCCTCAAGAAATAAATTTTCCCTAACTAAAAAATTTTTACTTAAAATTAGTTCCTGCTTTTTGATTCTTTGAGAGACTAGTGTTAAACTTTAAACTTTAAAGGCTCCAGTCCCAAAGTAGAAAGATGTTAATTTTTTTTTAAAGTTTACTTCTTATTTCATCTTCAGGCTAAATAATTTCATTTGGAATTTCCTCTTAATTCTGATTTTTAACACCTTTGTCCTCCTACTTAAGCTATGCATTTTTTATATCCATTTTATATTGAAGAAGCCAACATTGATGTCAGATCTCAGTAGAGACTGATCGGCCTTTCCTTGGACAGGACCATAATTGTGCCCTTACAGCAGGCTGGGCACTGTGCAGTGTTAACATGTTAACTCATGTCATCCTCCCAACAACCTTAGAAGGTTGAGTTTTCCATCGTACTCATGATCAAACTGAGACAATGAGAATGGAATGATTTGCCTAAGGTCACTATAGTTAGTTCCAGGCTAGAGTCTAGAATTTAGTCTAACTCCAAGCTTGTAGTCCTTGGGTGGTGCAGTTAATGTGCTCAGCTGCTAACTGAAAGGTTAGAGATTCTAGTCCACCCATAGGTGCCTTGTAAGAAAGGCCTGGTGATCTACTTCTTAAAAAACATCCATTGAAAACCCTATGGAGCACAGTTCTACTCCAGTACACATGGGGTTTCCATGAGTCGGAATCGACTCCACAGCAACTGGTAGTTAACTCCAAGCTTACAATCTTAAAACACTGTGCTATATGGCATGCCTGAAATAATAATAACCATGTATTTAGTGCCTATTGTCTGCTGAACATTTTTGTTCATTATCTCTAATCCTCACAGTAACTCTGAAGTATAGATACTCTGTCCCCATTTTATAGACGAGGAAACTAAGGCTCAGAAGTCACACAGATAAGTAGCAGAGCCAGGATTTGAACCTATGTCTATCTGGCTCCAAAACCTATGCTCTTTCCACTGCGGGGTGGGGCTACATTAAGGCCTACCTCTTTGTTCTTTGGGGGTTTTCCATGCACAGCTTTTGGGCCCTGGTGCCTTGTGTGCCAGTTGTACAAGGGCCGACTCATTTACTGTTGTATGTTTGTGATCACTCGCAGTAGCCCAGGTTACCTTTATCTTTGTTAAAGTCCTTTGTTCTGCTTTCGTTTTTCAACTTGTTAAAATCCATTCTTGTTTCTGATGTTGTGTTTCAACCCCTTCAAAACACATAATGTCTGTACACCTTCCCCTAAGCCAGACTCATTCATGACCCTAAGGTAAGTTAACGACTGACCATAGTTTTAAAGTCACCAACACCAGTGACCATCTGCTCTTGCTTCTCTACCTTCCCCAATGCGAGACCTATGTGTTGGCCTGTCTTGACGTGTGCCTTTGCCTGTTCCCCTTCTTTGCCTGGCCACATACTACTCATCCTTCAGGACCAGGTATAGGGATTTCCTGTATCTAGAAGCCTTTCTTAATGATTCTGAACCCCATTCTCTAAACTCCTAGAGCACCTGTGGTAATTACAATGGTAATTTAGTCCTGGGGATTAAACATTTTTTACAAGGATCTCTGGAGATATCTTATTGAGTAGGCAGGAATATTCTGGATTCAGACAGACCTGCGTTTTTCAGTTCAGGCTTACCAGTGAGCTCAAACATAATGACAATTGTGAGGAATGGTGAAGGAGCGAGCACTGTTTCGTTCTATTGTACACAGGGTTGCTGTGAGTCAGAACCAACTCGATAGCACCTAACTAATTCTCCAGCAAGTTATTTACCATCTGAGCTCCCATTTCCTTTGCAATATGAAATAACGATACCCAGATCCTGCAAAGTTATTAGAAGGCAGATGGAAGCTACTCCGTGAAATTCTTGTTAACAGGAATCTGCTAGGCAGATTTGAAAATTGTTCTTGGGAATATGTCCTCATAATTGCAAATGTTGGATCATTCTGAATAATCTTTTAAACATTACTTTAACAAAATATGTAATGCAGTGAAGTTGTGGAGTTTTTAAAAAATACGCCTGTATTAAGGACAACTGAAGAAGGGCACTTCTGTGAATTATTACTATGAATTGGTATTTGTTGCTTAGATTAAAATTTCCAGTGGCTACATCAAATATGAATTTTGAAAAAGCTGTATATTAAACAACTTAGGTAGAAGTGAAAATTACGTACTGTGGAAACTGTTAAGTGATTCCAAAAATTAGATATAGTGGAGAAGAAGACATTTGAAAATATATGTGAAGAGTTGGAATAAAATTGTTTTATGAAAAAGCAGTATTTCTAAATATTTTGTTTGCTTTTACATGTGTACATAACTTATTCAATAAAATAGGAAAAAACTGTAATTGGCACTTAGCTACCTCTTGCTGAGTACCAACTGTTGTTTTTGTATCTTATCTACTCAACTAACTTACAAGGTTTTAGAAATACTTTAAATCTTCTCAAAGCCCACAAGGGTGTTCTGCACATAGTGGGTACACATACCTATTGAGTGGTAAGATATTCCTACAGAGAGCAAAGAGAAATATGGTTTACCCAGTGACCTGTCAATAGTGACAGAATACCACTTTTACTTTTTACAGGGAAAAAGATAAACATCACACAGTAATAGGCAAATTTTCTGTTTTTCCCATGAAGAAAATAGTTTACTCACACTTTCCCCTACTTAATATATTTTTGGAAACTAATTTGTAAAACATGCTTAACTTTCTTAATTACAGACTACTTGAGTAAACTGACATATCTGGAGAAATTTTTACCTGCTTAACACTGAATTTTCAGTCTTCTGTAAAGTAAAGCCAGATGTGAATCCAGTGGTACAAATAATATTAAGTATATCTGGGATAAAAATAAGAGCTATGGTAGGTTTTTATAAAGCATAGCATATTTGTTTAATGGAGAGGCTAGCATTGGGGATTAAGTAAATTTTGATGAATTTAGACCTAGCGGGACAGATATTTAAGTTTGGAGCCTTGTCTATCTGATTGTAACAATAATAAGACTGTAAATAGGTCAAAGTAATAACTCCAGCCACTGCACCGAGATTAACTTCTTCTTCTATGCTGGCCTGTGAAGGCCTCCAGCCATGAGACACTATGACAGTTAAGTCCCAGAATTCCTGGCTTGTGGATTTATAGGGCCCTAAATCCTGGTAGCATACCGGTAAGAGCTACGTCTGCTAACCGAACGGTCAGCAGTTCGAATCCACCAGGCGCTCCTTGGAAACTGTATGGGGCAGTTCTCCTCTATCCTATAGGATCACTATGAGTCGGAATTGACTTGATGGCAATGGGTTTGGGTTTTTTTGGAAAATCTTGCCTAAAATTCTTTCCCCCTTTCCTCAAGTGTTCAACCTCACAGTCCTACAACAAATCCAAATACTTCTAAATTTGCTCAGAAATACAGAGGTGCTGAGAAATGTTCCAGATGTGGGGATTCTGTATATGCTGCTGAGAAGATAATTGGTGCTGGAAAGGTAAAGTGCTGTTTTGAATTAATAACTGCAAATGGCTTCTCTCCATTCCCTTTCTCCTCCACCCTCACCATATCCCACTCGGGGGCTCTGTCTTATAAATAAATGCCTTGGATTAAACATTTTTTCCCCCTTCTTGATCATTAATTTTTTGAAGTGATGCTATTTGATAAATCACTCTGTGTTTAAAAGAAACTTGAAACTTGTGTTCACAAGGGGTGCTCTTAAAGACTGTTAACTAAAAAGGCCAGAATGTTAGCAAATCTACAATATGCAGGTTACTCAGTGTAGTGAAGAAAGCAGTGAACCAGAGTCAGGAGACCTGATGCTAATTAGCTGTCTGTCTCTGAGCTGCAGTCTTTTCAGCCATAGAGGTGGCCACCTTTAAAGGAGCTGACCAGGTTTGCACTGACGTCTGACACTGCTCTTAGGAAAATGGCCCTTTCATGGTACAGCTCCCAGCCTGTATCTTCTGTGAATGAAGTTTGAATTCAGCCCCTCTGTATGTAGCCGAGAATGTAGATACTGGGGAAGGCCAGTTTCACCCTTCTAGTTGGGGCTGAACCATAGCTGTCAGGAGCTCATCTTGGGTTGATCTTCCTAAGCTACTTCTTACCACAACATCTAAATTATATCGCAGAAAACAGGCCTCTCAAGCATGTTAATACACTTGTCTCTTCTAGCCCTGGCATAAAAACTGTTTCCGATGTGCCAAGTGTGGGAAGAGTCTTGAATCAACAACTTTGACTGAGAAGGAAGGTGAAATCTATTGCAAAGGTAAAAATAATTTCAGTTATCATCATCCATATGAATATCCCACATGAGCTATTGGTGAATGAAATGTCACCCGCTTAAAAAAGGGGTGGGAAAAAAGGCATTCTGAAAACAGGGAAAAGCAGGCATATTGTCCTTGGCTATTTGAAAATAAAAGGTCCAGAAATGCTTACAGGTGACATTTAGACAACCTCAGCAATTTTAGATGATACGATAAAGTTCTTGATCATTTAAAAACTCCCCTCAAAACCAAACCAAACCACAAAGGTTTTTTTTCAACCTCATATTTTAAGCAAAGCATATATGAAGGTAATATAAAAATACATAATTTATCTTGCCTAATTTTTGTGCTTGCAAGTTAGTGGGACCATGAGCCAAACACTATGGAACCAGAATACTGGAACTTGCCTTTGCAGCTTTAAGATACTACATGGCACATTTTACATCTTAAATACATTGAACTCTTTCTGGCATAGCCACCAGTTTGTTTTTTAATTTAGGGGGGTTTGTTGTTGCATGGTCTTAAGCAGTGCTAGCAAAGCTTAGCGGACTTGCCTTAACGCTCCCTTTTCTTTTGCAGGATGCTATGCAAAGAACTTTGGGCCAAAGGGATTTGGCTATGGCCAAGGAGCAGGAGCCCTTGTTCATACTCAGTAAAGGTGTAAACCCCAGAACCGAGCATCACACACAGAGAATCTCTTCATAATTCAGGCACAGATAATCTCTTATCTCTTAACACTAAACTACTGTGAAATGCTACCAGCATATAAATACGGTAGATTATACTTGGACAGATTGGCTGACTTGTAGCAAGAGAACACTGTATCCTTTTGTTTTATTCGCCAGCATTTTAAAGAACCACTTTTTTACATTTTAAATAAAACTTGAGCTTCGTTTGAGTGTTCAGTGTCTTTCACTTAACCTTTTGGATGAACTGCTGTGATTTCAGTTAGTGGAAAATCAGTTGGTTCCCTACCTCGAATTTGTTAAAGAGTTAACCTCATTACCTAGTTGACTAGGGTTAATGTTTACATTACAGCCTAGGAAGGGAGATCTGTCTTTTTCAAGCTGGTAATAACTATGTCTCAAGAGAGAGGGTTGCTAGGCAATGAGCCTCACCATTTCAGCCCCACAGAGCTGGCAGTTAGCAGTGCAGCATCTCCTGCCTGCCTGCCCCCAATGTAGCCTGGAGCAGAGTAGTTCCCCAAAGTATGGCTTGCAGACAACCTGCATTAACATCACCTGGGGGTATTAAAAGGCAGAATCCTAGGCTCCATTTCAGCCCAACAGAAGCAGAATCTCTAGGTGTAGGGCCAGAAATCTTTTGACAAGTTCCTCAGAAAGGCACACTGACCTAGGCTGGGCACAGTTTTAAACAAAACACGTAAATTCTTTTTTCTTTATCTATAGCTAAAGATCATTATAAACCGGTGCTTAGAGACAATTATAGAATCTGAGGCTTAGCATGACTTTCTAGGCTCTCCACTCTAATCTGATGTGGTTGTTAGGTGTTGTCACGTTGGTTCCAACTCATAGCGACCCTGTGTACAACAGAATGAAACACTGCCTGGTCCTGCGCCATCCTCACAGTCGTTATGTTTGAGCCCATTGTTGCAGCCACTGTGTCAGTCCATCTCATTGAGGGTCTTCCTCTTTTTCGATGACTCGACTCTATCAAGCAAGATGTCCTTCTCCAAGGACTGGTCCCTCCTGATTAGACATCCAAAAAGTATGTGAGGTGAAGTCTTGCCATCCTCGCTGCTAAGGAGCATTCTGGCTGTACTTCTTCCAAGACGGGTTTGTTTGTTCTTCTAGCAGTCCATGGTATATTCAATATTTTTAACCAACACCATAATTCAAAGGCATCAATTCTTCTCTGGTCTTCTTTATTCATTGTCCAGCTTTTGCATGCATATGAGGCAACTGAAAACACTATGGCTTGGGTCAGACACATCTTAGTCCTTAAAGTGACATCTTTGCTTTTCAACACTTCAAAGAGATCTTTTGCAGCACATTTGCACAGTGCAACGTCGTTTGATTTCACTGCTGCTTCTGTGGGCGTTGATTGTGGATCCAAGTAAAATGAAATTCTTGATGTCAATCTTTTCTCCATTTATCATGATGTTGCTTATTGGTCCAATTGTGAGGATTTTTGAGAAAAAAAAAAAATCTGATGGTGATTTACTGGAAACTAGGGTGCTTTTTTCTCATGGTTCTATTCTGCATAAGAAGCAAAGAATACAGCATTGCCTGAGCACAGTTAGCTAGCTCAGGTAGAAAAGGAGAAATATAGGAACTTTTTCATCCTTCCACCAAAAGAAGTTTCTAGTTCCCTACCAGACAAGAGACTCACTCTGACTTCCCCTCCCAAGGGGTAGGGGAGGGTAGTTGGGCTGTGAAATCGGTCTGTGATATGCCTGATCTATAATAATCTTAATCTTTTCTAAAACCTATCTTAACATACTATATTGCTTATTTTGAAAAGCTAAAGGGGGCAGGGGTGTATGACATCAAAAAATAAACAGTGGGGGGAAGTTGAGGATAAACTGAGTGAAATAGTTCATGCTTATTTACATTTATTGCCTTGAGGTATTTTTTAAGTCATACCAGTTCCATCATGGGAGAGAGGAATGTCTTTTAGTTAAGCAGGCTGGGAAATAGTTAATTGGCAAGAAAATACATAGGTTGAGTTGAAGAGTAACTTCTGGTTCTGTATGTGGTTTTAAAACATGTCTACCAATTCTTTGAAATTCCCATGAAAAGATGGAATCTAGATTCCTTTCCTCTGAGTAGAGGCTGACGATTAATGGAATATGATGGACAAGGCTAGGTTAGAAGACAATACAGCTTTTACCTGCCTCCTTCTCTTGGGATGTTCACCCCTGGAACTCAGCCACTATGTTCTGAGAAAACCCAAACTACAAGGGGAGGCCACATGTAAGTATTGTAGCTATAGTCTCAGCTGAGGTCTTACTCAACAGTATCAGCCATCAGACATGTGAGCAAGTGAGCTTTCAAATGATTCCAGCCCCCGGCCTTCTGAACCATCTCAGCTGACGTCAAGTGGAGCAAAGTGAGCATTCCTGGTGAGCACTGACCAAATTGCAGGTCTGTGAGAAAAAAAAATATTGTTTTAAGGAAGTTCTGGGTGGTTTGATATGTAGCAGTAATAACCAGAATCATATATCCAATAAATTGTTCCTTACACGGAGCCAATACTTCCCATATCTACCATGTTTCCCAAACTGTACTGGAGATGATGCTAGTATATTCTAGAGGAAAATGTTCTAAATGTGGTTGTCAGGTGCCTGGAAATTTGAGATTTCTGTCTAGTAAAATGAAGAATTCAGACAGACAAATGCTCATTCATAATTGAAATCATTCTTAGTTTGGTTGGGAGCCACCCCAAAACTTCACGTGGTTCTAGGAATAGAAATGGGAATTTGACTTTGGGCAGGAATCACTGTGGTCATTTGGATGTAAGTTAGGTCAGCAGGGTAGCCCCAAAGTAATCCAAATGCAATGTTAAGTGCTGCATGATCAGTAAACACATTTTTTTAAATAATATTTTCAGCCCATTACAGTGATTTGGTATATTTATGGAGGATTGCTGACAACTCTAGTTTGAAAAAAGTGTTCTGATCAAGTAAGTTTAGGGACTGTTGCAATTACAGATCTATATATATATGTACGTATCCTTGAAGAGTCACAGTGTACACTTGGATGTTGAAGGTCTTGAAATCTTGAGGTTGAGAAATCTGCTTTAAATTTAAATTCTCACCGGAATTAGTTGTCCATGGAAATGCTAACATTTTAAAGAACACTGGAAAATGTTGGTCTGAACCAGTGGTTCTCAAACTTTTTGGTCTCAGGACCCCTTTTATGTTCTTAAATTACTAAGGACCGCAAAGAGCGTTTGTTTATGACAGTTACATCTATCAACATTTCATATTACAAACTAAAAAAAAAAAAAATGCATTCAGACTTCCACTTATAGCCAAGCTGGAATAAGAGGTACCACATTTACCTGCTCACTTAAAACAACAAGAAAACACAACAGACAACAAAAGACCTTTATGGGGAAAAAAGATCAGTCTTACGACTACAACAACTTACTGCTTTGAGGGAGCACCCAGGATATAGTGCAAAGAGAGAACTCTGGTGGAGCCTGCCAGCCACCCTGAGTTGAGACGAGCCAAGACTCTAGGGAGACCAAGGTGACTACAGTTACTAGGAGGGGAGAGGAGAGCTACACAGAACAGAAACGTGCACACATCCCCACCCACACCTTGAGACTTCAGCTAAGTTTTGACAGCACATGTATGTGAAGTAACTACCCAAGGCCAGGGAAAGAACCACCTAAAAAGCCTGGAGGTAACAGTGATTGTTGCTCACATGGAGCCTAGAATAGTGCCTGTCCCTACCAGCTATGTTGGGAAACCTCATGATCCATGGGATTTTGGGTAGAGTACACATAAGGGTCTTGCCTCAGTAATGGGGAATAATTAGCCCTAAACTGAGCATTGCTCTGGTCCTGCCTAACAAATCTTAAAAGCAAGACCTGAAAGGATCAAAGCTTCCAACTAACAAAGCTCCAGATTTTTTGTATAAGAATACAAAAATATCCAGCACCCAGCAATGTAAAATTCAGTGTGTCTGGCATCCAATAAAAAATTACCAGGCAAGCAAAGAATCAGGAAAATACCAATCATAATGAGAGAGAAAAATCAAATCAACTCAGAACTGATTGAGATATTAAAATTAACAGATAAAGGATATTAAAGTTATTTTGATTGTACCCCATATGTTCAAAAAGTAAAGTAGGGACATGGAAGATATGAAAAAAGATCCAAATAAAACACTGTAGATGAAAACTACAATTTATGAGATGAAAAATACACTATATGGTACTAATGGCAAACTAGACACTGCAGAAGAAAATACATAGGAACTATCCCAAATAAACAGAGAAAATGGAATTAAAAAAAACAAACAGCATCTGTGAGTTGTGGGACAACCTCAAGTGTATAACTGGAGTCCCTGAAAGGCAAGGGAGAGGAAAAATATATGAGGAAATAATGACTGAAATTTTTCAAATGTGGTAAACATTGTAAACTTAAAGATCCAAGTTCAATGAACACCAAACACAAGAAACAAGAAGAAAACTACACCAAAACATGCCATGAATAGTAACTTAGAACAAGCCCCAAAACAGCCAGAGAAAAAAACACGTACAGAGGAACAAATTTAAAGAAGACAGCAGATTTCCTGCTGGAAACAATGAAAGTAAGAAGACAGTGGAGCAACTTGTTTAAAATACGGAAAGAAAAAAGAAAAAACTGTCAAACCAGAATTCTGTAACAAGTTAAAATATCTTTCAAAATCAAACATAAAACTTATAGACACAAAAAAATTGAAAGAATTCATCACCAGCAGACTCAGGTACTTAACTTCCAAATAAAAGAGTAACAACATTAAAATGGGGGGGGGGGGATAAATTTAATTGCAAATTCTCTGGCTTTTGTTTCTTATTAGAGAAGCTGAAAAGTATTTACTGCTAATACCCATTGGAAACCAAGGCCAAGCAGTTGGGTGGTGCACTATCTGAACTGACAGTAGCCTCTACCATAAAGTGATTCTATTGGCAACAAAGGAATTTAAGTTTTCCACTTTAAGAGTCTTGTCATCATATAATGCTATTTTGAGGCCATCTGAAAATAGCCTATGACATGGCTTCTGCACTAAGCATATAACCCATTAAGCCAGTTGCCACTGAGTCAATTCCGACTCATACTGACCCTACAGGACAGAGCAGAACTGCCCCATAGGGTTTCCAAGGCCGTAATCTTCACAGAAGCAGACTGTCACATCGCTCTCCCATGGAGCGGCTGG